ATTTAAATCCCATAGTGAAAGAGATAGTAGAAGTATTAGCGGTTTTTAGAGAAAAATAGCATAAAAGAAGTAGAATCCAGTGAAATAAACTTAAGAATTAAGAGATAAAGGTGATGAGGAATTCCGAAGGTTAGGATTTAACAGAACACAAACAGTGGAGGCACCTGCGCCATTGCAAACGGTTGTGAGTCATGTCATTCAGGGTCTCTAACTATCGATTACTATCCTCCCGTGGACCCTAAACAGGTAGCCTAAATCTGCCAACATAACTCAGTCCACTTGTCAGTGAGTTAATGGATTTGTGCCATGTTTTATTTTGGTCATCCCTAGCTTTCCTCCAACGTACTCCTACATCACAGAACATTGCTCATCGCGACAGTCGGTGGTTAGGCATACGTATCACATGTTCTTACCACCTCAATTGATGAAGTTTAACTACTTCATCTATTGATCTGCCATTCTTACCTAATACTCGTGTCCTAACGACAGTGTTGCTTACTCGATTGTTCCAGGACATACGAGCAATGCGTCAAAGACATCTATAATCGAATACTTTGTCGGTGTTTCACTCCCAAGTCAGCAGCCCTTCCAAGGGTTACACCAAGGCCGGATAAAGGGGAGAACGATTTGGTATAGGGTTAACGATAGCATCCAAGAGAAGACTAACCAAAAAATAATGCTGATATTTAACAGCTAACATATATTTGTTCCACATCTCATTATTGCTTATTCGGATTCTAGATAGATTTATCAATGTAGACACAAAACTTTATCTCTACACTAACTTTTATTTTAAATGAAAAAATAAAATCAGTATGAAAAGTAAAACTTATTCAGTTATATTTAATTTACTACGAATGTAATTTAAGTTAAAAATATTTAATTGAAAAGATTAAATGAACGCACCGCCATAAGACAGACAGACGTATACAACGCAGAACTTCGTACGCAGGCACATCAGTTCAGGTTGCTATACCATGTCAATACAGAGATGCAACTGTCAGTTCAAATCCAACAGTGATAGCAATAATAGAAGT